GTATTAGATGTTATATGCCCTGTACAACTTGGTAAGCAAAATGTAGCAACTACTGGTAATAGTATTTCAACCTACCTACATGTATGTACCTGTGAAGACAGGTGTTCCTTATTAGGTAGATACATAAGTTTTCTTAAATGGCTATATTCACGATCTACAGTGAACACATAGAGCCTAGGATTTAGCTGAGTGGTTCTGCCACATGCCTTGCAAGAGCAAGGTCCTGAGTTCGATCCCTGGTACAAAAAAAAAAAAGTGACTGACATTAATACAATGAGCACATAATTAATGTTATAGTCGTTAAAATACTTTTAAAGAACATTTACATGTTTCCCTATTGCCATGGGTCTAACTCCTTTCCATTTGATGTTCAAGGTCCTTCTCAGTCTGGTTCCTCCTTAGTCTTAGTGCATACAGCCCCTAATATTACCTGGGGTTCTTAAGGACCAAATTCCAGCACTCACACTATTCCTTCAGGACAGCTGTTTCTTTCAAACTTGGCTCGCTCCTAATGTTCATTCTACCTGGAATATATTCCCTTTCCATTTCTACCCACTAAGACACTATCTATTCTCTACGTTCTATCTGTAATGTTCCAGAAAAGGCAAATATTAGCATTCCCGTCTCCCTTGTCTACAACAGACATCACTAACAAATTCTCCTCTGAATCTAGATTTTTTTCTCAAAATCCTCCATTCAATAGTCCTAGGCAATCCTTACTGATCAACTCATGATGATATGTAAAATAAAACTTACTTGCCACATAAAATTAAACTTATTGGACCCATTTAGTTCTTTGTACTCTATAAGAGCTTGTCTTCTCCACCTATTAAGAATCACTTACTTGTCGTATCTCCTTTACCTACTCGATTTTAATCTGTACGGTGCAGTAACTCTCTTATTCATCTTCATGACCTCTACAGAGCCATGTATGAGGTAAGTCATTCAAACGGTTGCTGAACAGGACTATTCATTTTTTTTACTATTATCTCATGGCTCAAAATGACTAAATGTTTGAAAGTTTTATTCTGAAATAAGTACATATTTCCGAAAGGACTAATTATTCCAACTTTATTTTATTAAATTTAGTGAACATATGTTTCAATTTAATATGTTGTCTTGATATCACATGATATAACCAAAAGTCCAAGTATGCATTAAAAAGCCACTGGTAGGGAGGATGACCGAGATAAGAGAACTGGAACCATTTTAAGGGTCATATATCCAAGTGTGGGCACTACTGAATTACACAACCACATTTGGAAATTTCTTCTACCAATCACCTTAATCAATTTTAAAATGCTATATTAGAAATACTGAAACTATGGTAGGTGTGATGGCACATGCCTGTAATCCAGCACTCTGGGAAAGTAAGGCAGGAGGATCCTAAGTTTAAGTCAAACCTGGGCAACGTAATGAGATCCTGTCTTAAAGGAAAAAAACATTGCAACCTTATAATTTCTGCTTTAATGGCAATCAAGTTCAAAATAATGTGAAATTCAACTTATCCAAACTATTTATCCCTTTATAAAAGGGATTTCAGGTAAGCTTCTAGATGCATGCATATTTTAGAAGTTGATGTTTTCTACCAGTCTTTGGTTCCTGAAATTTGAACTTTATCAGCTGTGTTTTAAACTTTTGTCAAAAAATATATGCTACTAAAATTTAAAAAATTTTAAAGTGATGTAACTCACTGCAAAAGCCTTAGGTTCAATCTCTAGTACCTCAAAAGAAAGAAAGAAAGAAAGAAACTAAAGGATTCTGAGCCACAAAAATATACATTGCTTCAAAAAGGAAATGAATTAACAAAAAATAAGATGGCGCAAAAAGAAATACAATAAGCTAAAAGTCAAACAAGATGTCAACAAAGTTAGGCAAGTAGTCTAGGAAAATCACAGAAATTTTTTTTACCTAAATCTGAAAGCCAGTTCAAGATGGTGAAAAGCTAGTAAAGTAAGACTTGTGCTGCCATCTAGAGGTTAGAGGCTACATGACTTTTCTTCTCAAATCAGCTAAAGGCTGTTTATTTAACTATTGTAGAGAAGTACCAAACAGGCCTAATGAAAGTCAGACAAATAACCTTGACGTGATACCACAAAGAAAACTATCCAGGATATATGAGTAGAAATTATTCTCTTTCCTCTTCCTTCACAGATTAACATTAGCATTCAACAGAGCTGTCTTCTAGAATTTTACTTGGAGAACAATTTTTAAATACAAATGTCCACTTTTACAGAATCATGTGCCTCGAGGGTAAAGAAGTGTACTATACCACAGGCTAGCTTAGAAGCACAAGTTCCCCTCTGGTACCACCACCAAAGAAAATTGTACCAGTTTCTGGTACAGACAACTTTATCAGTACAGATAAATGAGATAAGGTTTAAATGAGATGTCTCAATTGTTTTTACACTAAAACTTTTTAAAACTACAGAGTCATTATGTTAAACCAAATACAATAGTCCTACTGAAATTACTACATGAACACACAGGATTGGACTATAAATTAGCAGAAGAAGCTACTTTTATCAAAGTAAGCAAAATTCCTTAATACTTTTTAAAAATGTAATATACTTAAGGTGATCCTATTTGCATTAAAAGGTACCAAGCAGTACGTGATGGCACATTCCTGTAATCCCAGAACTCTAGGAGGCTGAGGCAGAAGGACAAACAAGTTTGAGCCAAGCCTGGATACCTTAGCAATTTAGCAAGACTTTGTCTTTAAAAAAAAAAAAAGGCTGGAGATGCAACTCAGTGTGAAGGCCTCGAGTTTAATCCCTGGTACCAAAACCGACATACACCAAGAGGTACCTACAAAAAACCAATAGCTAAAACAAATGAATCAAGAACAAAGAACAAAAGAAAAGGAAATGAAGCTAGAAAAATTAACCTGGCAGTAGTAAACAAGATGGGCTGGATTAAGAGGCGTGAAGACCAATTAGAAGTGACTACAACAGTCCCAGTACGAGAAAAAAGGCTCTGAACTAAGATTAAAGTAACAGAAATGGAATTCTTTCTACGCTATAGCAGAGTTTTACAACTTTTTATAGTTCTACATATTTCAAAGGAATTCACATAAGTGCCCAAATCAAACCAAGAGGCCGCAATCACCTGAGAAGCCATTAAACAACTGTAACAAAAGTTATCACCTTCCAAAATCTGCACATTAAAAGGGTTATATGAGGTATAATCACATACCAAATCAAAAGGTTCATCTTCTAAAAGACACAATCTAGTTATTATCAGCTCTAGAAGGTTCACATTATTTCTGCACTAACATTTAACAATGCTCTTGGGAAATGACAAACAATCATGCTTTGAAGACAAATATTTTTATCATTTTTTTTCTTTCCATCATCTTTATCAGTGCAGATATTTGCATGAAAACAGGATCACTGGTCCTTGGGGATTCATCAGTTCCTATTGCTTATTTTTCATCCATGTCATCCTCTCAATTAATGAAGGAAAGAGGATTGAGACATCGAAATACCAGATTAGGATGTCAAGAAAAAGCCAACCCCTAGAGTGGATGAAAAATCTGTAAGGACAAAAAAAAAAAATCTTGTTTTTATGCAAATACACTACACACAATAAAACAAAGAGACTATTTGTGAAGTCCAATGCACATCAGTGAACTACTTCCAATTCTAATTTTTAAAACTCTTTATATCAGCTAAATTCACGATAGTCAAGGAAAATGGTGAAGTACTGCTATAGAACTCGAAATAAAGCTGAATCTTGATTCTGAAGAATCACAACTGTGCTAATGAGAGAACTCTGGCAAACAAGCATTTGTTGTGTAGCTTGAGTTCAGTGCTTAAGGTGGCTGAATTAGGTAACTTTAAGTCCCTTAATATTATGGAAATATAAAACAGTAAGAACAGCTTTAATTGTGCATATTAAAACAAAGCAAAACAGAACAAAAACAGAGACTATATACAACTTAGAAAACTTTTTTTTGGATTGCTCCAATTTGTACAAAACAAATTTATGAAGAAAATTACATGTCATAATAGTACTCTCAAGATTATGGATTAATGATGGTTTCAGGTTCTATCTGCTGTATTTATGTTGGGTATCTTGTCTTTCAATTATCAAATGAGACTTATAATTCCTTTTCCAGTTTTATAATGAACGTAGTATGAGAAGGGACACAATGTGAAAAGAAATCATTCCAAAATAAAAACATGAGAGCAGACTGCCATGGATGAGAAATTTAGCAGAAACCTTCTTGGTCCGTCATATGTCTCTTTTAGGGAACCACTTCTTCCCTCCCATTCCATATGATGAGTCACATCAACCCCCCACTAATCTGCACCTGTACCTAGGATGCCAGCCTGGTGCATGAGAGTTCCATCTTGCCAAAGGACTCATTCAGAGATGGTACATGAGCTAACAGAGACAGTGAGTCTTTTAATTTACGTGAACTAATAAAGTCTTTCCTTCGGCTTAAGATAGTTTGAGATATGGGCTGGGGATTTAGCTTAGTGGCTCCTCTGCCTGCCTCGCAAACACAAGGCCCCTTTTGATTCCCGGTACCAAAACAAAACAAAACAAAAAGATAGTCTGAGTTGATCTATCACTTAAAACTGCAAGAGTTCAAGCTGGGCATGGTGGCACACGCCTGTAATCCCAGCACTGGGGAGGCTGAGGCAAGAGGATTGCTGTGAGTTCAAAACCAGCCTGGGCTACATAGTGAGTTCCAGGTCAGTCTCAACTACATAGTGAGACCCTGTCTCAAAAAACAAAACAAAACAAAAAAAACTGTAAGGGTCTCACAGACTTTTACTGCACAGAGAAAGTTAATTTGTTACCTAGTAAATCCAGTAATTATTCCAGCACACTCTCTCTAAAAGGCACACTTCAGATTACATTGACCCCTTAACTTCAGATTACTTATCTTTTCCCTTATAAGGAAAAATTATGTTTTCCAGAATTTTAACTAGAACTCATCATGGAATGCACAACATGTAACCCTGACTAAATGTGATCTGGGTACTCACACTCATCCAGTCCCAGCTGATAGGCCAGGTTCTGTAGGCCTCGTACCTTCTCCATCAAATTAGCTGTAGTGAGGCTTCCCAGTTCTGAAACAGAACCATTTATTTCAATACTATTTCTTCTCACTATTCTGTAGTAACAATTCATTTACATTTGGAATCCTGATTATAAAAATTTTCAGGTTTGGCTGAGGGGTACAGGTGAATGTTGAGCTTAGCATGGTTTAATCCCCAGCATTGAAGGAAGGGAGGGAGGGAGAGGAAGAAAGGGAGGAGAGGAAGGGGGAGGCAGGGTATTTTCAAGCACAATTCCATTGAATAGTGGAAAATGGACCCATATCTCTTTTCCCGAAATCTTACACACATGCACACATATCAGTGAAACTTTCCACTACTGTAAAAATGCCTCCAATGAGCTTTCTCACATAACAAATTGAGTTAGCATAAACACAGTAACAAGTTGTTTTAAGCTGAGTCCTTTGTCTATAATACAAAATGAATATACCACCAGTACATGAAAACTCATGAATTGACATACCATTGAAAAAGCCTTGTAGAACACCTTCAAATAAATACTATTTCTGCTTATAAGTCCCCATGATTTCAACTAACAATAAAATAGCAACAGGTCCAGGGATTTAGCTGAATGGCACCGCGCTTGCCTTGCAAGCAGACGGTCCTGAGATCGATCCCGTGTATCAAAAAACAAAACAATAAAATAAAATAGTAACAAAACATTGTTCCCCATTTTCCTAAGTTTAGAAAACAGATTAAATATAAATCCAAAATTCTCTTCAAATCAAATTCCTCTTTAAAAAAATTTAGGGGCTGAAAGTGTAACTCAGTGGTAGAGTGCCTGCCGAGCATACACATGGTCCTCAGCACCCCCTAATACCAAAACCAATTAGGTTTTCCAAGTAAAAATATAATATACTTAAAATAATAGCATCCAATTCCTTTTAGGTTTAAGACACAGGTCAATGTGCATGAAACATAATGGTGTGATCTCTTGCTAAAAATGTAAAGTTTCCTTAGAAAACACATGTCAATGGGCTATTCCATAACTGTCTGCTTGGAGCATTACAACAATGAACCAAAGATGCCCTTGAGACTTAATTTTTCCATAGCTAAAGGAGGGGCTCTGCAGTCAAGCATGCAGAACATTGAATTACTTCGAAAATCAAATAAAGGGTTTTCTTTTCTCCCATATATCATGCTGCAGTCATTATCTATATCTGGCATAAGCAGACTTTCCTGATCTGTTCAGCTGCTTAAATAGTTCAAGAATCTCAGATTTTTACCTTAATTTCAGTCTATTATTTCATAACCATCATGAATCTTATCACGAGAAGGATGATAAAAAAAAAAAAACAAAAAGAAAATTCATGGAAAATTAATGTTTTTAATTTAAATTTCTACTCTGTGGTTGAGTTCAAAATCATTTATCAAATAATAATATTCATAGAATCCTTTCTGGAAGAAATTGATAGGACAGAATGAAACAGAAGACAGGTCCCATTAAGAGACTGCCACTTAATAGTACAGACAATATACAGCACTAAATTCTAAATAAGGCACTTCTATTACAGTGGAAAGAGATTTTAAAAATTGGGTTTATGCCAGACGTGGTAGCACACACTTGTAATCCCAACACTCAGGAGGCTGAGGCAAGAGGATCACTGCAAGTTGGAGGCTGGCTGGGGATACATAGTGATCAAGGCCAGCCTGAAACACATAGTAAGACCCTGTCTCAAAAAAAAAAGGTTTAAAGCTTGAACTCTTTCTAATCAATCTTAGTTAACCTCTAAACCTCACATTTCATTACACCTAATTTAACAGAATGTTTATGAAAATTAACTGAGCAAATTTATTGAGGTTTTTGTTAACTATATCATACAAATAAAGTTTATATTAAAAGAACTAGTATCAGAAGAATTCATTATGACTGAACCTTGGAAGTGGCAGGATTTCTACACATGAAAAAAGTAGAGAAAGGCATTTCACATATGAAGAACTATGCATAAAGATGGTTAAGTGAGCAGTTTTTTGTTTTGTTTTGTTTTGGTACCAGGTAATGAACTTGGGACCTTGCACTTGCGAGGCAGGTGGTGGAACCACTGAGCTAAATCCCAACCCGGTGAGCAGTTTGAAGCCAAGAATACTTGTAAGGGAATAGTGACCAAAATAAAAATTGGAAAGGTAGACTATAGGAGAACATAATATCAAGTTAAAAGTAGGAGGACAACCTCCTGCCTCATAAACACAAGGTCCTGTACCCCCGGAAAAAAAAAAAAAAAAAAAGTAGGACAAGCCAGACATGGTGGCACATGGCTGTACTCCCAGCTACTAAGGTAGGTCACTTGAGTTCAGGTGTTTAAGATCAGCCTACACAACACAGTAAGACTACCTCAAAGTAAAAAAATCAAAGCTATTACTTACCTTTTAACATATCAATGTCATCACGTTCTATTTCAGCCATCCACTTAGGTGGAGAACTAGTAATAGGCTGTCAGAAAATAAAAATATATCCATTAAATACTTAAGTGAGAAGACCCTACTATTCCTTCTTAAAATAAATGTAGCTTCAGTATGAAAGCTTTGGGTTCAATCTCCAGGACTGCCAAAAAGAAAGAAATGTAGCTTGTCACACAAACTTCAGGTTGTTTGAAAATACAGGCAAAACTGCTTTGTAAGCCCAAGATCCTCAGTTCAATCCCTGATACTGGAGTTAAAAAAAAAAAAAAAAAAAAAAAAAAAAAGCCAGGTATTTAGCTCAGTGGTACCGCACCTGCCTCACAAGTGCAAGGTCCTGAATTCGATTCCTGGTACCAGAAAATATGGGCAAATTATAATTATAAATATAAACCTGGATTTCTCCAGGTTCAGCTATGACCTACCATCATCTGAAGGGAGGCCAGTACTATTACTATTTCATGCATAAAAATATAGCAATGAAACTACTTAAAACACTCTTCTGGGCAAAACCTCCAACAGAACTGTTTGACATGATATCAATAACATCCTCTGGAAGAAAGAAGAGTCAAGAATGAGAAAACCAAGGAAAATAAAAAAGATCAAGATGTGACAGGTATATGTACCACTTACCTGTGATGAATGTATCTGTTATCTATTGTAAATATGTACTAACAAAAAGTAAAAATTTAAAAAATTTTGGAATGGGGAAGACAGGAGCCAGGATACATTATGTGGAGGTGCAGACTCCCAATGATGAATGTGGCTGTGTTGTGTGCCGAAAGTGTGCCAGTGAACTTAATGAAAAAAAAAATGATGATAGTATGGAATTAATGTAAGAAAATGAAAAAAAAAAAGTTTTCAACTCCTCTCAGAAAGAAAGAAAGAAGAAAGAGAAAGAGAGAAGGAAGCTGGGCATGGTGGTGCACACCTGTAATCCTAGCACTTGGGAGACTGAGGCAGGAGGATCGCTGTGAGTTTGAGACTAGCCTGGGCTACATGTGAGTTCCAGGTCAGTCTCAACTACATAGTGAGACCCTGTCTCAAAAAACCGAAAAAAAAGGCCGGGGATTTAGCTCAGTGGTACCATCGCCTGCCTTGCAAGCACAAGGACCCGAGTTTGATCCCTGGTACCAAAAAAAAAAACAAAACAAAAAAAGCAAGCAAGCCCCCAGTAACAGAAGACTGGAATGGTCATATGATCATCACTTGAACTTTCATGATTTATTATAGAAGTTTTAGAAACTTTAGAAGTTTAGGTTATCTTCCCATTTCTGCAAATAAAATTTAAATATGAATGGCCATTCTCAGAATAGCTCCAAGTTAGCAGTTTTCAATCCGAGTTGCACATGGAATCACTCAAGCAGCTTTAAAGTAAGCACCTTGGCTGTAACGGGATATGATGATACAGAGTATTGGGGATTGGGGGATGGTCCACGGAGAGAACAGAACAAGGGAAATCATAAAGATATTTTTCAAAAAGCTCCATAGCTGCACACTGATGGTTCTGTTATGCACAGAGGTATAGGGCTAAGAAAAACTACTTCTGCTGGGGATGTATCTCAGTGGCATTGCACCTCAAGCACGAGGTCCTTAGTTCAATCCCCAGTACCAGAAAAAAGAAAAAAGAAAAACTACTTCAACTTCGAATCTTCCCCCCACACCACCACCACCACCAGGGATCAAACTTAGGACATTGTATTTGCTAGGCAGTCTCTTTTTATGAACACGTTCACAAAGAGGCTATAATTCCCATGTCTCACTGCTGGGAGGCTCTGAACTGCTGGTGGTACATGTATGATGGTCCCAGCAGGTGGCATGGGACAGTCCCAACAGGTGGTATAAGCCTTCCAATGGGACAGCCATGCATGTACCACCAGTGTATTAAGCTGGCAAGAATCTGTTGATTAAAATGTACTCAGTACTGCCAGGGATTTAGTTCAGTCGTGCTGCCGCCTGCCTCGTAAGTGCAAGGACCCGGGTTCGATTCCCAGTACTAAAAAAAACCAAAAAAACAAAAAACAAACACTCAGTACTAATCATGTAATAGAACACTTTATATCAAAATCATTTACCTGGAAAAAACCCCTATGAAGTAGGTATTATTATCCCCATTTTACAAATGAAAAAGAAAAAATAATTAATGGAAATTAAAATTCACTTGGTTTAGGTCACACAGCCATAGGTATCAAGATTTACAACCCAGGTAGTCTGACAACAGGAATCACTACAAACCCATGGCATGGTGATGCATATCTATAATCCTAGCACTCAGGAGGCTGAGCCAGGAGGATCACTACAAGTTCAAGGCCACCCTGCCTGAGCTACATAGTGAGTTCAAGGCCAGCCTGGACTACATAGCAAGACTATCACAAAACAAAACAAAGGAAGAATAAAAGAGTGAACAGTGCTTGCTTCAGCAGCACATATACTAAAATTGAAACAATACAGAGAAGATTAGCATGGCCCCTGCGCAAAGATGACATGTAAATACGTGAAGTGTTCCCTATTTTTCTGCTAATGACAGTAAGATGGCTTACTCTGCTACTCAAGAGCTATTTTTATGTAATTAATGCCTTTCTTGTTTATAAATGCCTGATTTTAAAAAGAAAAAAAAAAAAGAGGGTGAACATATTTAGAGCACCAAGCACAATGCCCGTTGCCCTGGAAGTGGAAAAGTCTGTGTTCTTATGGATATCCTCCTTCAGGTTTCTGATACAGCATTGAGTAATTCCAACATCTTCTACAGAGGTCTAAGCTAAGGCCACAATAAATCACATAAACAAAGGAGAAAAGCTTGAAAATTATAGGTTGGGCAAAAAGAATATTAGTGTTACATTAAATATTTAAATTGCCTTGCCTTAAAAGCTTCAAGCTGAGAAAAGAGGCTAGGTAAGTAGACAAAGGTCAACATTTCAAGGTAAAGCATTTGAACAAAGGAAAGCATCAACCATTAACATGATGATATAAATGGATTTACAAGGCTGCAATTACAAAATGACATGAAAGCTATGACGATAATCTTGAAAATAAAGAAACGACAGATTTGAGTTTATATCCGGAGCAAAACTTTGGGCAATTCTCATTTGGTAAATAAGATACTACTTACACTTTTGAAGGAAGCTGCAAATTCAGCAACACCTGGCACTACAAAGAAAGAAAAAAAAATGATTAATTCAATAAACATTTATGTGCTCAGGCAAAGAGGATTCAAATAATGTTGGGGGGCAGGGATGTAGCTCAGTGGCTTCAAGCCTGCCTGGCAAGCACAAAGTCCTGAGTTTGATGGAGGCAGGGGAAGCACTGCCTTCGGGTAGCTTACAGTCTGGAAGAGGCCAGAGAGTAAATCGGTAACTCTAATATTGTTTAAGTGCTCCAAGAAAGATGGCAGGATATGGGAGGATAAAAATGGACATCCAAATCAGCAAAAGCTTCTCAGAGAAAGGAATATTTAAAGTGAGCATTAAAGGACCCGGAATTAGCTGGCTAGGAGGGCAGCAAGACATAGTACTCTTACCAGCAAGTTTAAACTCTCTATTAGTTATGTTGTTCTCCGTCCATCCAATTGGTTATTTACCGGCCTCACAGAACCATATTAAAAAGCAGGAAAGTAATAATCTGATACTTAACAGTGAAATAACATTCAACTTTGCTAATAGAGAAGTGCAAACTAAAAATAATAAAGAAAAGCCAGGGACGGTGGCACTTGCCTGTAATCCCAGCACTCGGGAGGCTGAGGTAGGAGGATTGCCATGAGTTCGAGGCCAACCTGGGCTACACAGTGAGTTCAAGGTCAGCCTAAACTATAGAGTGAGTCAAAAAATAATAAAATAATAGTAAAGATTGAAGACATGAGGTAATACATGAGAAATGGACACTCAGTACAGTCATCCTCTTCCATTAGCACAAAAGTCTATGTGCCAGGAAATTATTCATTGATAAACTGTTTGAAAAATAAAATACTGAGGGCCAGGATTGTAGCTCAATGGCACTGCACCTGGCTGGCAAACACAAGATCCTGAGTTTGATCCCTGGTACCATGGGGGAAAAAAAAAGTAGGAAAAATAAAATATTAGATATAACTTAGGTTTCCAGACAGGGCATGAATATACAAATTATAATATATCTATATAATAAAATATATCTGAAATATTAAAATAGACCTATACATGTAAGATCTGAAGTTTGATCCCCAATACAAAAAAAAAAAAAAATTGACCTACACATACCAACATTCCAATATAGAAAGATCCATTAACAAATAAGGTGAAGGGCCAGGGATTTAGCTCAGTGGTTCCGCCGCCTGCCTCGCAAGCGCAAGGGCCAGAGTTCAATCCCCAGTACGAAAACAACAACAACAACAACAACAAGCAAATAAGGTTGTGTAATAAGTTAAGCTTAAAACTGTGTACTTATTACTGTCATTAAAAAAACCCTCTATATACAAAAAAAGTTTGCTTATCTGTATAAGCTTAAAAAAGTCAAACCAATTTGTACGAAACTATTAGTAACTTTGTAACTAATTAAAAGGAGATAAGGAGATACTTTGTGTATCTTCATGGTATTATATGAACTTATAAACAGATTTTTTAAAGTAATTATTATTAAAAGGCTCCTCACCCTTTCCTGTCAGTGTTCTGAAAAAATAAAACTATCAAACAGCTATTAGCCAGGCATGGTGGGGTGCACACCTGTAATCCCAGCACTCGGGTGGCTGAGGCAGGAGGATTGCTGTGAGTTCGAGACCAGCCCACGCTACATAGTTCCAGGTTAGTCTCAACTACATAGTGAGACCCTGTCTCAAAAAACAAAACAAAACAAAACAAAAAAAGCTATCGGGCCAGGGATTAGCTCCGTGGTTAGGCTGACTGCCTCGAAATCACAAGGTTCTGAGTTCACCCCCCCCGGGGGGGGACTTGACTCAGCGGTTCTGCCCCCTGCTTCGGTTCTGCCCCCTGCTTCGCAAGCCCAAAGGCTCAAGTACAATACCTGATACCAACAAAACAAAACAAAACACCCCCCCCAAAAAAAAGCTATTGTTTTTGGGTTTTTTTTTTTAGTACTGGGGATTGAATTCAGGACCTCACACCTACAAGGCAGGCGTGGTGCCACTGAGCTAAATCCCCAGCCCATCAAAAAGCTATTGTTAGCATTGGACATCAACCTCTTCTCTTCCCTTTAAAGTATATTAGAACATTTTAAAAATTTTTCAAGGAAGCACAAGTCTGATATAAAGCAAGCAGAGACTTACATTGTTCTGGCCAAAGATCTGGTGAAGCACGATCAAGTTTTTCAAAACTTAGCAAAGATGCCTCCAAATCTGTCCCTGCAACAAAGCAGCGTGCTTAGACAAGAAGACATTGCAACATCAAAGAATATAAACTAAGGCAGTCAATGGAAGTCTAGAGATTTGAGTTCTATAACTCAACTGATGCTACTGGGTCAGGATGCAATACAAACAAACCATTCTCTCTCACCAAATCTCACTCTTCCAATCTATAAAATAGGAGTGCTATTTTAGAAGAGTGTTAAAAATGAGTATCCACAAACCTAATCTGTGCCTTCATTCATGCCCTTGGACTTCCCTCTATCTACAATCAATTAAGTGTCCCTGCTCCCATGAAAGATGAACTCCTCGGCCAGGGCTCTCAATGCACATTCTCTTGCTCTGTTAAATATTCTTCCCCCATACCATCATTTTAATTTTCTCTAGGCTCATACTCAACAGCAAGCAATCTTGCCCTAGAATCTCCCTTCTTTTAAAAGGACTCCCCCTTAATCCCATGATCTCTTGCATTCTTCACATCAAAATTTTGTTTTGGTTTTTGTGTGTGTGTGTTTGTAGTATTGGTCTCTGAACCCAGAGTCTCTTACATGCTAGGCAAGGGCTCTACGACTGACCCACCTCCTGGCACTTTTTATTTTGAGACAGTATCTTGCTAAATTACCCACGCTCACCTTAAACTTGCAATCTTCCTGCCTCACTGTCCTATTTTAGTACATGTGCCGCCAAAAGGAGCAGCCTGCCTCATTGTCCTAAGTGGCTGAGATATAGGCATGCACCGTGCACCTGGCACAAAAGTTCCTGAGTTTCATATTCTGTTGTTTCCACTTACACACATCACATTCTCTTCTTAACCTGTCAGGCTTCTATCCCTACACATATAGAAACTACCATTGATAAGGTCATCTATGACCTATGTTACCAAATCCAGTGGTCATTTCTCTTTTCTCTCTTTTATGACCTCTGCAGTATCCACATACTAACTGCTGCTATGAAACCACTATGGTGGTTTTTCTCCTATTCACTGGGTCCTTCTTCAGCCTCCTCCTCTTCCTCTCAGCCCTTTACAGGCCATCTCCACACTTCTACCTTAGCTAATTGCTCACCTTTACCATCATCTGAAACCAATGACTATATATTCATACTTCTAGTCCCAACCTTTCTCCTGAACTTCAGCTTGTCTAAGTAACTACTTGATATCTCTCTCCACTTACTTGTATGAAAAATCATACTTTCCCTAACCTCTCTATCTGAAGAAACTGTAATGCTATGAATTCCAATTGTTAAACCCAAAACCCAGGCCTCCTTTTCTTACACCCTTCTATAACCAATCTATCAATAAATCCAGCAGTTTCTATCTGCAAAACACACCAAGAAACCAAACTAGTGTATCATTTCTCACCTCAAAGTCTTTTAACAGATCTCCCAGCTCTTGTTCCTTTTTTTTTTTTTTTTTTTTTTTATACCGGGGATCAAACTCAGGTCCTTGTGCTTGCAAGGCAGGCAGCGGAACCACTGAGCTAAATCCCCAACCCCTAGCTCTTATTCTTAATCTTCCTCTCCCCAAAATCAATTTTTCACAATGTAATCAAGTGATTTTTCAAAAAAATGTTACTGTTCATTACACTCTCGGGTTTTTCAGGTCTTCTGAGCCAAATTAGTGAGCGACTATCTATCATGTCCTATAAAATCCTGCGTGACCCAGCTCCTAACTAGTTGTTTTATACCACTTTCTTTTCACTCTTCCTCTTCTGCTGAGTATTTATTGTGCACTTTGAATGCTGGGTACTTACATAGTTAGTTCATTTAATGTTGTAAACAGTGGCTCTTAACATTTTCTGGGTAAGCAACATCTTTGGAAATCTGAAAAGACGTGAATGCATTCACTGCCAGAAAATGTATAGATGTGTAATACTTTTGAACATGAGCTTTTCTCTAAACTGAATTTGTTTTAACAAATATTCCAAGGGATTTTCCAATGGCATTATAATTGGGAAGAAACTGAAGTCTAATACATTGATTTATCTAAATCACCCAAAACTGCTAAAAAAGAAGAGCTATATGTTCATAACACGTCAATATTCAAGTTCCCAACTGGATGTTACCAATGAGGAGCTCAACCATAATAAAAACAAACGTATTAGCCATGCATGGTGGCACACGCCTGTAATTCCAGCACTCAAGAGGCTGAGGCAGGAGGATTGCTGTTGAGTAGGCCAGGGCTACAGAGTGAGTTCAAGGCCAGATGAAATTGCATAACAAGACCTTGTCTCAAAAAAAACAAAACAAAAAAAAAACACCTTTCTATGAGGTATAATCCAATAACCAATGAGGCAACTGTATGATACCACATTCTGGGACAAAATTTTGCTTCTGTCATGAGTCTTAGTCTCATAAATTAAGTAATTAGACAGTTTTACTTGCATTTCAATTTACTCTTTTTAAAAAGAAGTTCCATTAAATTTAGCATGAAAAAGACAAAAGGGTTAATGACCTAATCTTAGTTCCAAATGAACAACTGAATTAAATTTTAAAGACAAAGACAGATGGAACACTAAAAATAGAAGTGAGATCACTGGACAGTGGGCTATTTTATGATGAGATACTTATTTACAACTTCAATTTAAGTCCAAAGTGTTCAACTTTATTTCATCAGATTCTAAAGATAAGATTAGATGGGGAATGGTATAATTCTGAAAGAGATGAGAAAGAAACTTTAAAAAAATCAAATGCAAACAAAGTAACCATAGAGACAGCGAGACAACCAAAGGGAAAAAATATGTTTCCAATATCCTTCTTGTTCAAAGAAAGAAAAACAAATTGAGGAAAAATGAAAACATCGACATACACACAAACACACACACACAAAGCTAGACGTGATGGTGCATATTTATAATCCAGCACTCTGGGAGGCTGAGACAGGAGGATGGCAATTCTGAGACAAACCTGGACAACTTATGGCGACCCTGTCTCAAAATTATTTTTTTAAATGTTTTAAAAAGACTGGCAATGTATAGGGCTGGGATTTAGCTCAGTGGTTCCACCACCTGACTTGCAAGCGCCAGGTCCCAAGTTTGAAACCCAGTACCAAAAAAAACACAAAAAACAAAAAACCTGGCAGTGTAGCTCAGTATGAAGATCCTGGCTTCAATCCAAAAACAGCTTAATAATAAGCTAAAAATTTTAAGCAATTAGGGCCAGGGATGTAGCTCAGTGACATAGCACCTGTCCCCCTTGAGGTCCTGAGTCCCAAGTTTTAAGCAATTAGCTCTATGTCACAGAGCTGACTGTGTGTGTATGTGTACATGTGAACATAACATAAAATTTAACATTTTAACCATGTTTAAGTGTACAGTTCAGTGACATTAAATGCATTAATACTGTACAACCATCATCATCCAGTTCCAGAATTTTCTCACCTTCTCAAACTGAAACATAAACTCTCCATTCCCTTGGCTGACTTTTTAAATGCCATTTCTTTTCTAGAGGAAGAAACTTTTGTCAAGAGCACACAAGTAGGAAACTCTCCTCTGATTCTGAACATCCATAACTTCTCATGGAGTATCAAAAAGCTTAAGACTGGACTGTATACTTTAAAAGTACCAATAAACTTAAATAAATAAATAAATAAAACTTAAGACTGGGACTGGGGATTTAGCTCAGTGGCGCCCATGCCTGCCTGGGAAGTGAAAGGTCCTGAGTTCGATCCCCAGTTCCAAAAAATAAGACTTGGTTGAACTTAAAATTTAAAAATAAGGTAAGATATTACTTGTGCACACATTCGTTGAAGGCAGATCGCTCACCAGGCACTGGTTTAAACCTGGGATCCAACTACAACAAACAAGACAGACTCGGAATTTATAATGGGGCATGAAAAGGACAAAGTCAACAGAGCTATGCTGACAATAAAGATACTGAGGTAATGAGTAATGGAAGGGCGACTACAAATACTGGGTTCTAGTTGAGCCTCTTTGAAATGCGACATCTAAAATGAGAACTGAATGAGCAGTGGGACAGGGTGGCCCACACCTGTAATCCCAGCTCTTTGGGAGAGTGAGGCAAGGTGATCCCAAGTTCCAGCCTAGCCTGCTGAGCAACTTGGTGAGATCGTGCCTCAAAAATTTAAAAAATGTTTCAAAATGAGATTGTGATGTAGATCAATGAGAAGGTCCTGGGTTCAATCCCCAGCACACTAAGATAAAATAAAAATAAAACCTGAAATGAAAAAATGATACCATGTTTGAGTCATCCTTCCACCTCCTAAAGCACCCACCACTTGTTTTTCATACAGGAGGTATATATCCAATAAAGCTCTCCCTGGCCTTACTTTCCTCATTCCTAAAATGAATGTCCAAGATTCTTTAGACATACACAACATGTCTGAAAGGGAAAACTACCTATCAATGAAATCGGTGCAGGGATGGGGGTAGCAGAAGCAAAAAACTAAATGAGTTCAAAACAGACTGCAAGACTCTACATCACTAACGCAGACTACACCAAAACTACCCAACAGCTACCTGAAATGACTTGCATTTTAGACAGCACATAAGCAAAAATTATTCACTCTCTCAGCCCAAGGAAACAAATGCACAAAAGAGACCCAAGAGAGGCCGAGACATATGCAAGATCACATTAAAAACCTCAAAACTTATTGCCTTTAAGACTGTCACGGCGAGAGAACGAGAAGTCCCTCCACTTCTCTTTATTTTGTTGCCAGGGCAACAGCCCCAAACTGGGTAGATAGCAGAAAATCGCTGTTCTCTGACGGACCAGTCCTGAGGTGAGGTCAGCCACCAAGAGCAGTTAAGGGTTGAAGAACACTTCAACGGGACGCCCAAAGAAGGAGAAAGCTGTCTTAAGGCACCTCCTTTCCCGTAGCAATATTCCCTCTTCAACCCTTAACTTCACCCAATGGAGCTAAGGGAGGGCCAGGGTGAGCCCAGTCCTTTCGCGGGGAATCTGTCCTCTGCAGGTGTCCTCTTTCTCCCGTCACAGAGGGGAATCTGGGTAACTCCAGAGATGCTGAGAAGAGCTGACGAGCTGAAGACAGGGACGCATCTCAGACAAAGACGTAGAAGAGAAAGAAGAGGAACTCAAGAAAGAAGTGTAAGTGCGACGGGCAAGTGGAGAGTGGAGAGGCCCAGGGAAGCAACAAGATTGCAGGCCAAGGATCTCTAAGCCGGTTCTTACCGTCAGTGGGAGACGCCATCTTCCAACCCATGCCACGTGATGTGGCCAACCGTCGGCGGGAAAGTGAAGATCCATAAGCCACGCCCCAAACGAGATAGCCTATCCCCAACTCGCAACTCTGTCTGTTTTCCCCGCCCCACAGGTCAATATTTGCCTAGCACCGCCCCTGGTAGCCACGCCCGCTGCGCGGTTGTTAAGGTGGAGCCACGGCAAAATTCTTGAAGTGTCTTATTTATTTACCGATTGAGGGGGCGGGGCCTTGGGTGTGCTTGTGGCCAATCGGGGTTTCAGGTTAGGGGGCGGTGTCTCCTCGTGTTTAATATAGAGTACCCAAATCTCTACGAGCGGACTCGGAATCTCCGCCAATAGAATTAACTAAAGTGGGAGGGGGGCAAGGACTCTTTTGCTTCTGACCAATCACATATCGCCAAAGCTAGCAATGAGGTGGGCGAGGGAGCGGATATTCACGCGAGTGATTGGCTAGAGAAGATGGTTTTTTTTCCCCCAATGAGGAGGCCCGGCAGGATGGAGGGCGAGGCTTGGAGCTCTGGCTTCACTGTCCGCAGAAGTGCAAGGAACGGAGGAGAGGCTGCCGAGAGCCATGGCGGCGGTGGTGACGGCGGCAGCGATGCGGGCGCGGATTCTGCAGGCGAGTGAGGGTGGCTCCGAAGCTAGGAATGGATCCTTTCCTCACGCTCTCTGAGCCATGCTCCAGCAGGACCGACTTTTGGGCCAGCCCCTTCTGGGCCCACTCGACCCTGCGTCCCTGTCCCACTCTCTTGCTCCCTACAGTCCTTCGCCTTGGATGCAGCCCTGGACTGTCGCACCTGGCCCTTTGCCCATCCAGTCCTGACCCTCCTCTTTTCTGGTTCCGGCCCACTCTTCTCCAGTCCTGCTAGGTCCCTGCTTGCTTGCTGTCACCTCGGTCCGACCACCGTCTTTCCTTTTCACCTCTGCACTAGTCACTTTCCTCTCCCCAGAAACGCCCATTTCTGGTCACCTGTCTTAGAGTTCTTTCCCCTGCTGGGAGCGTCCAAATTGCTACACACACCCACACACACACCCACACGCACACGCACACGTTGCGCGCCATCTTCTCTGTTCTTAATTCGAAATGAAGGGGTAGGATGTGTGCAGGGGGGCGTGGGGCGAAGATCAGTGGTTGAACTTTGAATCTCCTAGGAGCCTTCAATAGGTTTTCACCAAAGGCAGCCCTTTAGCAGGCAGTTTTTCCCACCTATTTTGCCCTTTGTATTTCCACAAGTTCTGTATTTTCTTGCCAAGACATTCAGTTAACCTTGCAGTGAAGTTACAGCGTTTACATTAGAGGTAAATAAGGGCACGTTGTTAAGTTTCTACTATAGTTCATGTAGTTCAAAGGAGTAAACATCTTTCCAAAACAGGTATTAGAAAATGAGAGCTGAGGAAGACCAGAAGTTCCAAGCTCTTACCCCGAGTCAGCTCTTTAAGGACAACACAACCTCCACTCTGGTTTCGCTCGGAAGTCAGCCTAAGAAAACTAGTAGAGCTATAGAAACTGCATGCCTGAGTACTGTGGTCCCCAGCTCTGTGCATAGCCTTTCCCCTGTTGCTTACAGCCTAGCAAAGACAGACATGAGGCAAGGTTTACTTCTGGCAAGATACTCAAAACTGCAAGAAACAGCATTGCCTTTCTTATTTATTCCATCCAGCCTGGGAACATCTATATTGTTATGCCTTTAGGTAATATCGTTATTTATCAGATTTCAGAGGGTTCTACTGCAGAAATGTATGCATTTTTAAGATTGTTGGCAGAGTTAGCCAAGATTCATGTTTGAATATGCTGTTTAAAGAGAGTGTGGGTGGAAGGTGTTAGATAGGTTTGACTTCACTCATATTTCTTGCAGTGATCTGCTTCTTTTCTGGCATCTTTTTTTTTTTTTTTTTAGTAGCAGGGAAACAAAGTTTCCATCCTGTGTTTTCCACTACCAACTCTTCCTTGAAATCTGTTACTGAAATTAGCTTTTTTCCTTTGCCTTCACTCCCATCACAATGAGACTGAGAATCTTAAGAGTCCTTTGTACCAAAGAAGAACATCTCTCTTCCTATGTATTTTATTTTTGGGCTGCGGATTTAGCTCAGTGGTGCTGGCGCCCGCCTTGCAATTGCAAAGACCGGAGTTCGATCCCCAGTACCAAAAAAAAAAACAAACAAACAGAGAATCCTATGTATTTTATTTTTGAGACAGATACTGTTTTTTTATTCATTTGAATAAACCTTTGAACTTACTTAGAAAAAGACCAGAAATAATAATCCTTAGCCGACTAGGAGTTACTGTAACATGAAATTTTGATAGTCTAAGCCAGGTGTAATGGCTCTGGCCTGCAACTCTAGCTATGAGGGAGGTAAGAGGATTGCTTGACACCAAGAATTGACACCAGCCTGGGTAACATAGCAGGATCTTGTCTCAAAAAAAAAAAAACAAAAAAACTCTAAATTCTGGTAGTCATGAATATTAGAGGACTAATAAAAGACTCTCTAAATGGGGTGTGGTGGTACTCTGGGAGGCTGAGGGAGGAGGATTGCAAGTTTAAGGCCCTCCTGGGGAATTTAGCAAGACCCTGTCTCAAAATAAAATCAAAAGGACTGAAGATATAGCTCAGCACCCCTTGGGTTCAATCCCCAGAACTGAAAAGATTAGGGCTGGGGATTTAGCTCAGTGGTTCCACTGCCTGCCTTGCAAGCGTAAGGTCCCAAGTTCAATCCCAGTACCAAAAATTTTTAATTAATTTAATTAAAAAGAAAAATGATTTATAATCGTACAAGTTCATGTTTTAAGTATTTAGTTTATCTTGTGTTATCAAGGCTAAACCTAAAAACTCTGTTCCTTGTGTTATTATCATTTCCATTGAGAATTAGGAAAACTAGTCTGAAAGAGACTCACTGACTTACCTCAATAATGTGGTACAAAGACTACAAGCTTCACAATCATACTTAGATTTATTTTTATCCCAGCTCCACCTCTTTTTTTAGCTAGGGAAGGGAGTAATGGGGATAGATCCCAGGGATGTTTTACCACTAATCTACCTCCCCCAAGTGCCAGTGTTACAGAGATGTACCAGCCTGGGCAAGAGAGTGAGAATTACCTCAAAATAAGAAATATTTTAAAAGGACTGTGGATGTGGCTCAGCGCAAAGGCCCCAGCTGTAATTCTCAGTAACAGGCATACACGCATGTACAGTTTAAGTGATCTACCATGCTCAAGTTGGTTGATCCAAAAAGCAAGCACATGAAGCAAAATTAGTATCGTATGGTTGCTTGGTAACTACTCATTCTTTCATTCTGCGGATGGGTGCTTACTCTATTCCAGGAACCATGCTAAGAGCTGAGGACATAGTGGTCTAGAGATCTAAAGGGAAAGACAATTCAATACACTGTTATTTCATAGAGACGAGGAATGGAGGAATTCAGCTCCTTTAGGAACTGCACAGTGACACTTCTCAGAGCAAGTGATAGCCAAGTGGAGACCTAAAGGAGGAGAGGAAACAAGCAAATGGATGAAACAGTGCCAGGCAAGAGGGATCAACATGTGCAAGGGCAAAGAACACAAAACATGTTCCAAGTGGCTGCAGCAGAGAGAGCAAGGAAGAAAGTAGAAGCTATGAAATTAGAGGAGCACCTAGGCCTAGTGGTGCACACCTGCAATCCCAGATACTCAGGGAGGTGGAGATAGCAGGATCACAAGTTCAAGCCCAGACCAGGCAACTTAGCAAAATACAAAGGACTGGAATATAGTTCAGTGGTATAGCATGCCTAGGTTCAAGCCCCAGTGCCGAGAGAGAGAGGCAGAGAGAGAGAGAGAGAGAGAGAGAGAGAGAGAGATGCAAAGATAATATATAGTCTTCTAATCAGCATCCAGGTAAGTGGAAAGGCACTGGAGGTTGTATTGTTTTCTGGCCCCAAGGAAGAAGCCTCGCTAGCCCTGTGCATACTTTGCAAATATCACTGAACTACATCCTCAACCCTATTGGAAGGTTTTGAACAAGGGAGTCATCTGACCAGATTTGCATTTTAGGAAGACCCTCTAATTATCAAGTAGAAACTCTATTCAGAAAGCCCTGTTAGCAAGCCATTATTGAAGTCCAGGTGACATACAAAAATGTGAAGTAGTGGCGAAGAGGTGGTGTGCTCCAAAGACTTCTAGGAAAACAGACTGCCAGGGCTTGTTTGACTCACCAAGGAAAGAGAGGGAGACAAGGTGACATTTGGGATTCTTCTCGGGCAACTAGGTAAACAGTGATCCCATTCACTGTAAGCCCCATTGACTGGACAGGTGGGCTGGAGGAAGCAGAGCAGATTGGTGGAGGATAGTGGGAGACAGCTTTTCCAACATGTGCTTACGTGGAGATGTGGTGAGGATAGTTACATGGATGCTGCCTGAAGAAGATTCTAAGAACTGCAGATTTGGGCATCATCAGGATCTAGATAACTAAGCCATAGGAGTTAAAAATCATCCAAGGAGCATATGAAGATTGAGAAGAAAACAAAGCCTAGACCAATCCTTGAGGAATTCAAAGATTGAATGACCAGGTGGAAGAGGATGATGAACCAGGAAAAGAGGCAGAGAAGAGATGCCAGGGCATCCCAGAAGACAGTGCAAAAGGAGTGTGGGGAGGAGGACAATCACCTCGGCTGAGGTCCAGTCCAGGGAGGACTGAGAAGCCTCCATGGATATAGGGAGTCACAATCGTTTTAGTCACACTCCTCACTGCTGGAACAAAATATCCCACCCCCCACAACTCAGAGAAGGAGAGGTTTATTTTGGCTCACACTTTGTACAGGTTTCAGTCCATGTTCAGGTGGCTCCCGTGCAGGAGGGCCTGGCAGAGGAAAAGAGACTTCCCGGAATGGCAACCAGGAAACAGGGTGAGGGAGGAGCTGAAGAGGGAGAGAAACCCTTCCAGGCCATGCTCCTGTGGCCCAGTCATCTCCCAAAAATCCCACCTATGAGCACAGGAGGCTTTCAGGGGACATCTGTTATCCAGGTTCAGCCCATGGCCTGAAAAGACTCATGCACATGCCTCTATGCAAAAGGTTTTTAGTCCGTCTGTAAGAGTTGCCAAAGTCCTGACAGTTTCAGCATTGTGGAAAAGTCCAAGTCTATACTCTTAACTGAGCCCCTATAAAAAAGTCAAAAGAAAGTTAAATATTGCTGATGTACAAAGGCACAGAGTAAACAGGGTAATTAGGAAGGTTGGAGTAGACTGAAGTTAGTGGGAGATGATGAAATAAAGATAATAGAGCCATTAATAGAGCCTTCTTAGGAAGAGTGGCTAAGAGCAGGGGACTCAGGGTCAGCGGGTAGCTCAGTGCACAGTGCCTGTCTGGCAAGTGTGAGGTTCTGAGCTCGATCCCTGGTACAAAAAAGTAGGGGACTCAGATTTGAGGAAAAGGAAGGATTTAATTATATATATATAATATAGATCCATACACACGCACACGCGTGCGCGCGCACACACACACACACACACTGGGGATCGAACTTGGGACCTTGTGCTTGCAAGGCAGAAGGCGGAACCACTGAGCTAAATCCCCACCACCTTTTTTATATTTTTTGAGATATGGCCTTGCTGTGTAGGCCAGGCTGGCCTCAAACTCATGGCAATCCACCTGCCACAGCCTCCTCAGTGCTGGGATAACAGGCATGTGCCCCCACACAGGATCTTATTTTAGTGTAATATGCTTATAAAGCAGCAATTGGATAGAGAGAATTTTAAGGTTTAGGAATGGATAATTGATGTGATTGTTGTGAGATAGAGAAAGTGGACTTCAGAGTATGGGCAGAGATTAACTTTAGATTTCTTTAGTCTATAGACACTGTGCATGTCTGTGTCCCTTCACATTGCCCTGAGGGAGTTTGCTGGCCACCTCCATCAGGTGTAGGTCACTTTTGCAGGCTTGCTAATAAGTTGAAGAAGTTAAACTTCATTAGGTACATAGGTGCACACCTATAATCCCAGCACTTGGGAGGCTGAGGCAGGGAGGATTGCCATGGGCTCCACACTGAGTTCAAAGCCAACCTGCACTACATAGTGAGACCCTGCCTCAAAAAAACAACCCCCCACCAAAGAAGTTCTCATCCCTCATCCTTTTGTTTCTGATATCTCTGAAGTAGGAAAAACAAAGTGAGAGAAATAACAGTTGAAAATTTTCAAAGAATTATTGTTTTGAAATAGCAAAGTAAAAGCAAATAAGTATACATAATAATAATATTTAATGAATAGCAACTCCATGCTAATTATTTTCCATACCTGGACAATCTTGATCGCAATAACTATAAAGCAGGTGTACAAAACAGGTGCAGTGCCTGCCCTCCTGCAACTTAGTGTTTGGGGATAACAGTTACCTAGGCAATTGTAACACCAAGAAATAAACCTCACTGGGGAGACATGGGATTACAAAACAGGAATGTCTAACCTAGTCTACAGTGGAAGGCAGACAGCAGGGGACCTTCCTGTTATTGAACACCTATGTACCGGGTACTACATCGGTATTGGGAACGTGGCTATAACAACACTTGGTAGACTCCGGAGAGTGTTGATGTTTTGATTAGTTTTTGTGGGGAATGGGAGAGGAAGCAGACTCGACATTTGCAAGGATTGTCTGCTGGCTCAAAGGTCCAGCACCCTTTACACGGGGGATAACTGCAGATGCACACAAATTCTTGTGCTTTGGTTAATACTAGTCTCTCTTCAGACAAGATCGTAGGTGATAAATTGCAGCTTTATTTAACATCTCAGTTTTGCGTTTCAGGTTGCTCCGAGTTATAGTTCAAGAGTCAGGTTATTGTAACTGATCCTTCTCCCCCCATTTTCTGATTTTATCCTATCAGATACTGCCTATACCGTACATATCCATCACCCAAAGAGTTTACCATATTCCCCATCATCCCTGCTTTGTGATACTACAAATTAGAGTTTGTATTTTCTAGTTTTATATATAGGGCCGGGGATGTAGCTCACTGGTGCAGCCCCCACCTGGCAAGCGTGAGGCCCTGGGTTCGATTCCTGGTACCAAAAAAGAAAAGTGAAAAAAAAGACCCCCCCAAAAAGCCCCTAAATGAAACCATCTATGCCTAGCTTCTTTCACTTGCCATACTGAGAATTATTCATGTTGTATGTATCATTTCGTTCCTTTGTACCATTGAGTAGTATTTAATTTCTGAATATACACATCTCTTTCCTTATTCATGCGAGTAGGTGTGGACATTGAGTCATTTCCAAGTTTTGAGCTATTGCAAATAAAGCTGCTGTGAACATTAGTACTCAATTATTTATATATATGTATTATACTCACATTTGATTAAGTACTATTTTTACTTCCAGTGATTATATACTATATTATTTATGGCTTATTATACTGATTATATACTGTATTTAACACTTAGGTATCATATTAGGTAATCTCATATTCTTAGATTTATGATGATTATACTTTCTAGGCCAAAAATGGGGAAAATATGATATGACCAAGAAAAAAAAATTTTTTTGAGATAGGGTTTCACTTTGTAGTTCAGGCTGGCCCTGAACTCTGTAGCCCAGGTTGGCCTTGAACTCACTGAGATCCTCCTTCCTCATCCTCCCAAATACTGGGATTTCAGGTGTGCGTAACCACGCCCAGCTCCAAGAAAATTTTTTAAAATCATGACTGTCCTAGAAACTTAACTGGACACAATTATTTTGATTTATTTTTCCTTCATAGTTTTCTGTGTCTCATCATTTCATATATTTTTTAAATGACTATATGGCCCTTCAGAACACACAAGTTCTTTTCCACATACCCACAGTAGCTAATATAATGTTGAGTTTGGAGTAGCCTTTCACTACATCTCAGTAATTTTCTGCTCTCGTTTATCAAATCATAATTTTATCCCACAGGTTTCTTCCAAGGTAAACTCTGTCTGGTATCCAGCTTCCTCCTTCTCTTCTTCAGTGGTGAGTATCTTCAGCACTAAAGCTTTACTTCTGAGAATGAATCAGTTAGTTTTGGGCTATCTTCTTTTCTTCTTTATATTATTGTGATCAGACTGTATGTGAAATTATCTGTCTTGATTTTCTTATGTAATATTACGTCTATCAGACACTATCTGTACTACACAATTTTTGTTCCAAAAGGTACCATGGCAATTTCTTTTACAAAAGGAACCTGTACCTTATTGAAATTAATTTGACATAAAATAATCTATACATATTTAAAATGCATAATTTGATCAGTTTTAATGCATCATCATTATCAAAACAAAAAACATCACAATCAAGATAAAGAACATTAGGCCAGGCGTGGTGGCGCATGCCTGTAAATCCCAGCACTCGGGAGGCTGAGGCAGGAGGATCGCTGTGAGTTCGAGACAAGCCTGGACTACATAGTGAGTTCCAGGTCAGTCTCAACTACATAGTGAGACCCTGTCTCAAAAAACAAAACAAAACAAAAAAGATAAAGAACATTGCTACCACCTGCCTTACAAATGCAGAGACCCAAGTTCGATCCCCAGTACCAAAAAAAGAACATCCATCACCCTATTATGTTGTAAGCATTGGTTTGTGTTTGTTTTGTTTTGTAATGGTATCAGAGATTGAACCCAGAGATATTCTACTATTGTGTTACACCCCCATCCCTTTTCATTTTGAAACTGGGTCTGACACTGTTGCTGATGTTGGCACTGAACTTAAAATCCTCCTGCCTTAGTCTCCCAAGTAGCTGGGATTACAAGCTTGTGCCACTACCCTCAGCTGTAATTATACTTATATATATATATATATATATATATGTGTGTGTGTGTGTGTGTGTGTGTGTGTGTGTAAAATTATGTTAATATAATGTATATATAATATATACATATATAATTATGTATAATTTTATATTTTTTATTATTTTAATGGATGCATAATAGTCCTCCATCAAGCACATGTAACCTCAATTAATTTCTTCATGTAACATTTAGATGACTTTAGTTTTTCAATAATATAAAATATACATAGGTTTTTTTTCTTTTTTACTTACTACATTAAAAGTACAAACATTTCTGTGGCCTCTAGAAAGTTAGACTTTTTAATAGTCTTTCTATGTTGTACCAGCTGGTCTTGAATTCCTGGGCTCAAGTGACCCTTCTGCCTCAGCCCCCTGAGTAGCTGGAACTATAGGCACATACCACCACAGCCAGCTTCTTGTAGAGGTTTGGTTGAACCTGCTAGATAGTTTTTTTCTACACAACCTTTTTTTTTTTTTTTTTTGAGTCAGGGTCTCACTATATATTTGAGACTGACTTGCAACTCTCTATGTATCCCAGGCTGGTCTCGAACTCACAGCAATCCTCCTACCTCAGCCTCCCAAGTGCTGGGATTACAGGTGTGCACCTCCATGCCCGGCTCATGTTGCAATTTAATTGCCATTGTGGCTGTACTGGGTAGTAGAACTTTTAAGAGGTGGTAAGGTTGTTAAGAGGGATTCATGACTTTCTTGCTTATGGGCCTTCGCTGAGACAAAATACCTGACACCCAAAGTTAAAGGGAAAGGGTTAATTTGGCTCACAGTTTGTAGAGGATTCAGTCCATAATCAGATGGTTCCTAAGAAGGGTGGCACAGGGGAACAATTCACGTTGACAGACAGTAGCAAAGCAACAATAGACCTTAACTGTGTCTTTTTGCCCTTTTTTATCTTATTTAGACTTCATGGGGTGGGTAGCACTCACACCCTTACTCCTAGTGCCCTTGAGCCTAGCATTGCACCAAGAATCAATCACACACTCTAGACAGAGTCACCTAAGAAAAAGCCCCACCTATGACTGCATGAGGCTTTGGACATCTAGACACAGCCATAATAGAGCTCTTTCTCCTTTTGCTACATTACTACCCAACACAAAGCCCTTGCCAGATAAAGCTACCTTACCTTAGACTTCTAGCCTCTAGAACTCTGAGATAAATAAGCTGCTTTTCTTTCTTTCTTTAATTTTGGTACCGGGGATCAAACTCGGAACCCTGTACTTGCGAGGCAGGCAGCAGTGCTTTCCTTTATAAATTAACCAGTCCCCGAAATTCTGTTATAAAAACAAAACACATTCATACAGACCTCTTTGAAAATTTAGTGAAAGTGAGTTCCTTCAAAAACACATAAGAAAACCAAAAATCAAAAAACCCACGAAACACCTGGATAGAAATATTTTTAAAATCTTTCAGTCATAAAGATAAGGCATATGGTCATGTGACAGAAAAATCAATGGGGCCAACAAGTTAATGGCTAATCTTTGTTAACACAGAGTGGCTGCTTTTTTAAAATGTAAGCTTCACAGGGATTCTGGGCATGATGGCATTTGCCTATATCCCAGCAGAGGGAGGCTGAGGCAAGAGGATCACAAGTTCAAGTCCTACCTGGGCAATTTAGTGAAATCCTGGCTCCAAAAATAAAAAGGTCTGGGATGTAGCTCAGAGCAGAGACTTTGGGTTCAATCCTCAGTACTAGGGGGAAAAATGGTTTCACAAGTGATGTGAGTCTACTCATGACTTCTACTGAGTGAGTAACGGAGAATTTGCCAATCTGAGAGAGGTAGTAGTATTGAGAGGTACTGCCATACTTTAGTATTATGTGGATATTGTGTATCTCTTCCTTATTGGTAACATTTTTGTCGTTGTTTTCAATACTGGCTCTTGAACCCAGGGCCTCATGCATACTAGGCTCATAGGCCTGCACTCTAGTGGTGAGCTATATCCCAGCCTTTTTTCATTTTTAAGACCTCGCTAAGTTGCCTCGCTGGGCTCAAACTTTCTGTCCTCCCAGCTCAGCCCCCAGAGTAGCTGAGATTCCAAGCCTGAGCCACCACACCCAGCCCTAATGATAACTTTTGTGGACACTAAAAGACTCAGTTGTCAGCCTGGATTCCTTCTTCTTTGTGAAAAGGAAATAGGAAAGCAAAACAACAAATTAATGTTAACTTTTGGTTTCTTTTTTTTTTCCAGCCAACTGTAAAACTCTTCATTGATGGGAAATTTATTGAATCCAAAAGTGACAAATGGATTGACATCCACAACCCAGTAAGCAAAGCTTTAAAACTAAAACTGACTAGCGTAGAGTCTTGGGGGCATGGTAGATGGTGAGGACCCGGGTATATATCATGAAGCGTGTGGTACTGCCTTGGTGAACAGACAGAAAACAGAGAGGGCAACACTGGCATGGTGTGATGACTTCTTTTTCCCAACAGGCCACCAATGAGGTCATTTGTCAGGTCCCTGAGGCCACCAAGGCTGAAATGGATGCGGCCATTGCTTCCTGCAAGCGTGCCTTTCCTGCGTGGGCAGACACATCAGTGTTAAGCCGGCAGCAAGTCCTGCTTCGCTATCAACAACTTATTAAAGAAAACTTGGTAAGAAATCTACGTAGTATCATTCTCCACATTGTTGCCTAGGGAGAGTCAGTCACTCCTCCTGAGACCTTACCTAACTCCACCACAGAGACACACTGACTATGGCTCTCACCCTGATTCTCGCCTATAGTTTTGTGCTTCCTTGGCTAACAGAATTAAATGGAGTAACATAGGGACTAGGGCTGTAGCTTGGTGATAGAGAATATGCTGATTATGTACAATCCCTAACGCCAAACTGATAAATAAAAAAGAAGGGAGGGAGGCTGGAAGGGGAGATGAAGACATAAGAGAGAGAGGGAAAGGAGAAAAGGAAGAGGAAGAAGGAAGGGAGGGAGGAAAGGAAGGAACATCCTTGCATTATTTTCTATTTGTGTGTGTTCTCTCCAGAAAGAAATTGCCAGGTTAATCACAATGGAACAAGGGAAGACCCTAGCTGATGCTGAAGGAGATGTATTTCGAGGCCTTCGTAAGCTGGTTGCTCCTCATGGGAGTTTTTGGAAAGAACAAAATAAAATGAGAGGCAAAGATCCCAGAATGGGGAGGTTTCTTCTTTATGTAGATTTTGCTATCTCATGATATCTTTGTGTGTGTGTGTGTGTGTGTGTGTGTGTGTGTGTGTGTGCGCGCGCAGTACTGGGGATCGAATCCAGGGGTGCTGTACCACTGAGCTACCTTCCCTGTCCTTTTTATTTTTTATTTTGGGACAGGATCTCACTAAATTGCCTAATCTTGCACTTGTATCCTCCTGCTTCAACCTCTCGGAGTGCTGGGATTACAGGCAAATACCATGGTACCTCACTTCATGATAACCTTTTTAATGCTTACTTTAGGGCTGGGGATTTAGCTTAGTGGCTCCGTCGCCTGCCTCACAAGCCCAAGGACCTGAGTTTGATCCCTGTATCAAAAAAAAAAAAGTATTAATGCTTACTTTAAAAATTGCAATACCAAAGCTGGGCATGG